GGGGGGGGGGATGTTTAGCGTTACTCACCAGTGCGCGCCACTGCCGCCGACACTGCCCTTGACTGTGACCGTCACATATGCGTACGCCAAAAACCGGGTGGGCACACAATATTATTGTCTTCGGCTTTCGCGTACCGTCGAGTCTTATCGCCACCACCGCGCGGGTGTCGTTACAGCGTCGTCGTCGTCACCATCCGCGCGCTGCCTAGTGATCACCGCTTCTTGCCCGACTGCTCGACATTGCGTCTCTACAGCCCAACTAGTGTTTAGTCGGTCAACGAAAGAGAAAGTGGCCGCACGTAGTTCGAACCGCACGCAGGCGATTCACGCACACACTCCTCGCACACCTGTGACGAAGTACAAATCGTTAAATTAAAACAATTTTCGCATCCATTAAATCTGTTATGTTTTAATCCGCCTTTTTTTTTTTTTTCCCCCGTTACTTATCGTTTCACTCGTCGGATCCACGCGGTTGGAGTCTGGTAAATTCGTCAACCGATTCTTACGCCGTGGTCAGACCGTATCGAAAGTAATATTTTTTTTTCGGACATATTAGTCACATTTCCTGTCTGCGTATTTCATGTGTTTCATGGTATGGTATTAAATTGAATGGCTCCTCGGAAGAACACTATGGGCTTCAACGGCATCGGACATTTCGCCGACTTATTTTTAATGGCCCAAAACAACAACTACATCACCAATCACGGATGTGGCAGTAATACTCTGGACAAGCAGAATTTCACAATGACATCTCGGCAGCAAGAGTGCAGTTGCTGTGTACCGACTGGTGATTGTCTCATGAGATCGTTGCCGGTGCGTCTGGACGATGTTAGGGCCGGTGATTTGTATGTGAAGGTAACTTGTGTGGGTGGTTGTGCCATTGGACAGTACATGCATCGAGAGTGTTACGACAATTGGGAACGTCTAGTTACTGCTTATGTCAAAGGGAGCCGTTCATCCGTTGATCTTTGGTCTAATAACAATAATAACGTTTTGGTCAATAATAACAACGTGTTGGGCGGAAGCAAAAAAGGAATGGACATGGCTTTCAAAGCTTGCACATGTCGTTGTGGGCACGGTTTCCTTAAAAGAGATCAAGATTGGCCTCAAATATCGATTGCCCGTAGGCCTTCTTCGTTGGCGACCGTCGATCAAGAACGTTCGTCGCCGTCCAAAAAGAAGAAGCGCCGACAACAGCAGCAACCTAAACAGTTTACTCAGACCGATTACACTTTCGGCGAATTACGTCTCAGAACTGGTAGCTTGTCCTCTTCGTCCAATGGTTCTAGTTCTCCTGTGACTGGCAGTTCGAATTCAAACAGCGCTTCCCCGGCTCACTCTGGAACATTCTCAGCCATCGGTTCCAAAAAACGCGTCAAAGATGTTTTTGAAAGGTATGTGTTTTCAAAATTTGTAACCTTATAGTTATGAGAATATGTTTAGAAGTTGAACTTTTTAAATTCTTTTAATTTTTTCAAAGGAAATTTTTGCAGTTGTAGAAATTTACACTTAAAAATAATATATTAAAAATATTTGATTATCAATTAATACTCGACATTGAATTGGTGTTATGTATTTCAACAGCCCAGGTGTTTTAAAGGAGACGAAGCGTTTTTTTATTTTTATATCTACCTTTTTCTTTGTAGGTTTTACACACTTAGAACTTTTAGAATTGAGGAATTGCAAATGGCACGAGGTAATATTATGATTTTAGGGTCCGTGTGATAGGGGTGTGTTTTTCCCTCTAAAAAGTTTGAAACCGGCGTTTTGTAACGGCATGCGAGTACATGTGCGTTGGCCGAATGCTGTCAACACATTAAAAATTTAAAAATTCTTAATATTTGCTTCTAGAGTTATTATAATTCAAATGTAATTTAATTCAACAATTTTTTATTCACCTCTATGGGAATTCTTAAGTTATTTAATGTACAAATATTATTAATTTTCTGTTACTAATTTAAATTAATTGTCATGTTAAATTCAATTAATATGTTTTAATTGACGTTTTTTGTTAAAAAATCTAACCACGTGGATTTCGCTTGTTTTTTTTTTACGTCTGGCATCGTTCGATTATTCGGCGACTTAAGTTTTGAAGGTCGTCTTGGCGCACGACTGTATAGAATGTATTTTTTTGCTTTGTTGTGAACGACCGGTATTATTATGCGTGTTCTATTAGCTTCACTATAAATCACAAGTTCTATATTATTATTCTTCTCTTGTTCTCACAATTAACAGCCTGTGGTTGGTTACCAAAAGTGAACGGGTTTTTTTTAGAATTAAGTTTTAAAATTCGTTAATGGTATTCAATGGTTAAATTTGCGGTAATTTGTATGATAAACAAATATATTTTGATTTTCATTACAATTGTGTTTCAGCAACACCTATCAATATTGTCGGTGTAATAAAATACTTGGCGCCAGTTGTTGAACAATGCCGTACTCCTACAGTTATATGGTTAACGTTATTTCTTATCTAACACGTGTCCCTTAGTCGGTGAGCTTTATTTTCCTAGAAGAAATGGTGCGTGGGTATTCCCCGATTTTATTAAAAAAATGTCCCTATCTGTATTTAAAAACCGTTCCGTGAAATAACGAATTGTGTGCAACTATTTTTGAACGTGTTTTAATTTGTTTAGGGGAATGCCAAAAATGTAAAAATTATCTGTGTCATTATTTCTTCTCATACACGTTGGTTGCTGTTTATTATTATTATTAGTGACGTTCAACAATGCAAAAAATAAACTACACATGTTTAAAATATTTAATTATTTGCGTTCCCTGTCCGCCGCCACCACCCTATTATGTTCGGCTTTTTTTTGCTCGGGTCAGTATAAGGGTCGCATTTTCTCTAATTTTTTTTCCCTCCGCTTATCCCTCGTAACTGTCCACACAAGTTTTAATAATGGTGAATTAATTTTAATGTCAACCTTTGGCCGTTGGTTCAGTCATGTACTTCATCTCCCATCTAAACTATCAGCGTTTTTCGAGAGAATTGTGTTGAGTAATTTTAAATGTTAATTAAAAATCCTGACCTTGGAGTCGTCACGCTACCGTGCATCCTCTGTAGCCGATATTTTAACAACAGCTGAATTGTGTTGTTGTTGTGACTGATTGTGTTCGGCGGGGTGAATATTAATTATATTCAAAAAGTTCAGTCTTTAGGTTGGTATGAGTAATGAATAGATATTATTGAGATTATTTTTGTGGTCCTGACAGGATGTTAGGATAGTGGTCTAGTTTTCACCATTTCCCAGAAAACCTTATTCAGAGGTAAAAATGTATTGAATATTTTTTTTTCTACGCCCCGTGTTTATTTCGTCTACTTGGTCTTTTGTGTTTATTTGGCGACTCCCACAACGCGGTTCATCTTCATTTCAACGATATACTGAGTAGTGTTCTCTTGCCCTTTTTCTCAGAACTACCATGTCGATAGATTCACTACAGTTCTCTCTTGGTCTTATATGAGTTCTCCCACTCTCCAACATTGAATGTGCATCATTTATCCACTGTATTTGTATTTTTTCCCTCGCGAAATCGACCAGTTATCCTTGACTCTTCGTAACTGTTTTGTTCTATTTGTTTACATTTGTTTTTTGATTCCCGTTGTTATTGGGTTAGTTAGTCAGCGTCGCGGCAATTATAACGTATATAATCATAATTATCCACTATTCGTGTTAAACGAGCCGACACTGACAACAATAACAAAAATCATTACAACTGCTGCCCGTTCTTAAAGCATATAATTAGGTTTATAACTCGGCGAGTGTTGGCCGTCGAATATCGACTGAAATAGCAGCGGCCGCACTTTTTTTTTCAAGGTTCTTTACATTAGTTCGCCCACGATTGTTTTTATTATATTTTTCACATCATGGTAATTTCGACCTTTAACCGTGATAAAAAAACCGTTGTCAATTCGTGTACGCACCGATTGATCAAATTATATACTATCTAATATTTTGTACATGGCACTCATATTTATTATAGCAAAGATATTCATTTATTATAGTTTTCCATGTGCTTTCATAATTACATTTTTGTGAATAGATGCATTCCAACTTTAATAAGCCTCAAATTTTTAAATATGAAGTGAATGTAGTCGCAAGAAAAATTTTTATTTATTGTTAATTACATTTATATGTAATTTTATGGGTTCGTAAACATGGCTTTTTCTCGTTTTTAAAAATTTTATTTTATTTTTCTAATTATTAATAATNTGTTCTATTAGCTTCACTATAAATCACAAGTTCTATATTATTATTCTTCTCTTGTTCTCACAATTAACAGCCTGTGGTTGGTTACCAAAAGTGAACGGGTTTTTTTTAGAATTAAGTTTTAAAATTCGTTAATGGTATTCAATGGTTAAATTTGCGGTAATTTGTATGATAAACAAATATATTTTGATTTTCATTACAATTGTGTTTCAGCAACACCTATCAATATTGTCGGTGTAATAAAATACTTGGCGCCAGTTGTTGAACAATGCCGTACTCCTACAGTTATATGGTTAACGTTATTTCTTATCTAACACGTGTCCCTTAGTCGGTGAGCTTTATTTTCCTAGAAGAAATGGTGCGTGGGTATTCCCCGATTTTATTAAAAAAATGTCCCTATCTGTATTTAAAAACCGTTCCGTGAAATAACGAATTGTGTGCAACTATTTTTGAACGTGTTTTAATTTGTTTAGGGGAATGCCAAAAATGTAAAAATTATCTGTGTCATTATTTCTTCTCATACACGTTGGTTGCTGTTTATTATTATTATTAGTGACGTTCAACAATGCAAAAAATAAACTACACATGTTTAAAATATTTAATTATTTGCGTTCCCTGTCCGCCGCCACCACCCTATTATGTTCGGCTTTTTTTTGCTCGGGTCAGTATAAGGGTCGCATTTTCTCTAATTTTTTTTCCCTCCGCTTATCCCTCGTAACTGTCCACACAAGTTTTAATAATGGTGAATTAATTTTAATGTCAACCTTTGGCCGTTGGTTCAGTCATGTACTTCATCTCCCATCTAAACTGTCAGCGTTTTTCGAGAGAATTGTGTTAATTAAAAATCCTGACCTTGGAGTCGTCACGCTACCGTGCATCCTCTGTAGCCGATATTTTAACAACAGCTGAATTGTGNATCAGCGTTTTTCGAGAGAATTGTGTTGAGTAATTTTAAATGTTAATTAAAAATCCTGACCTTGGAGTCGTCACGCTACCGTGCATCCTCTGTAGCCGATATTTTAACAACAGCTGAATTGTGTTGTTGTTGTGACTGATTGTGTTCGGCGGGGTGAATATTAATTATATTCAAAAAGTTCAGTCTTTAGGTTGGTATGAGTAATGAATAGATATTATTGAGATTATTTTTGTGGTCCTGACAGGATGTTAGGATAGTGGTCTAGTTTTCACCATTTCCCAGAAAACCTTATTCAGAGGTAAAAATGTATTGAATATTTTTTTTTCTACGCCCCGTGTTTATTTCGTCTACTTGGTCTTTTGTGTTTATTTGGCGACTCCCACAACGCGGTTCATCTTCATTTCAACGATATACTGAGTAGTGTTCTCTTGCCCTTTTTCTCAGAACTACCATGTCGATAGATTCACTACAGTTCTCTCTTGGTCTTATATGAGTTCTCCCACTCTCCAACATTGAATGTGCATCATTTATCCACTGTATTTGTATTTTTTCCCTCGCGAAATCGACCAGTTATCCTTGACTCTTCGTAACTGTTTTGTTCTATTTGTTTACATTTGTTTTTTGATTCCCGTTGTTATTGGGTTAGTTAGTCAGCGTCGCGGCAATTATAACGTATATAATCATAATTATCCACTATTCGTGTTAAACGAGCCGACACTGACAACAATAACAAAAATCATTACAACTGCTGCCCGTTCTTAAAGCATATAATTAGGTTTATAACTCGGCGAGTGTTGGCCGTCGAATATCGACTGAAATAGCAGCGGCCGCACTTTTTTTTTCAAGGTTCTTTACATTAGTTCGCCCACGATTGTTTTTATTATATTTTTCACATCATGGTAATTTCGACCTTTAACCGTGATAAAAAAACCGTTGTCAATTCGTGTACGCACCGATTGATCAAATTATATACTATCTAATATTTTGTACATGGCACTCATATTTATTATAGCAAAGATATTCATTTATTATAGTTTTCCATGTGCTTTCATAATTACATTTTTGTGAATAGATGCATTCCAACTTTAATAAGCCTCAAATTTTTAAATATGAAGTGAATGTAGTCGCAAGAAAAATTTTTATTTATTGTTAATTACATTTATATGTAATTTTATGGGTTCGTAAACATGGCTTTTTCTCGTTTTTAAAAATTTTATTTTATTTTTCTAATTATTAATAATGAAATGTCGATATTACACTTGTTCTACTAAATATTACCCAGTAATACACATTAAGAGATTAATATAAATGCTGAAAAATGTGGATGATCATATTGAGTATAGTTTAATTGTATTATAATTAATAAATTTTAGCAGATCAATATTTCAAAGAAAATGTATGCGATAATATTTTTATACCGTAAGTCATTTTTCTGTATTCAGTGTAGCGATTGTCGGCAGATGGTCCCGAGATTATTTATAATTCGTTATTTTGATCATCATCACCTGATGGTACGCTTGTCCTTTTTACCTATACACCGCCGACCCTACACAAGAGACCTTATGAAAAATTAAAGGTAACAAATACTTAATAGACAGCTGTATCTATTCCTTAAAATCATATATATTTGATGAAGTTGACTTGTAATTTCACGTGGATGAATTGTAGTTTTTTCGTGGGCTATGCACAAACTTAAAGTTTGTCCAGTTTTCATTTTGATCGATTATTCGTATGCTAAAATAGTTACAGTTACACTCGCTACTCTCATCTATTAGTTATGATCGATTAATTATTTTGTCATTTCCTATTCGCTACCTGTACACTGAGTTGGTTCATTATTGTTCATAATTTTAGACAGATATATGATGCCATGTGTATTCGTTAATGAAATAATGTTTGATGCAGGTGTCATTAGAGATATTTTCTACGGCGGCAGCTGTTCCCTTAGCTTTTCACCGGTTGTCCTTCTTTTCTTACAAAACTCTTATTCAAACTCTAGTGAATCTCTATGGTAAACTCTGGAACAAAGTAAAACGGCGCCAAAATAATTTTCCATTAAAACCAATATAAAACCGAAGTATATTTAAGACCAATTTCCAAATACTATAAACGATAAATTGTTACCATTAAATTATTAAGATATTTAAAATTGAAATTTTATATTAATATATTTTTAATATCATTCGAATAGTTCTTATTCGGTTAGCAGCGATCGACGTGTACTGTGTTAACCTTCGCATTACAATTATCCGTCGGTCACCTATATAGTAGTAGAGTTAGTAGTAAATGATTTTTGTTTCATTTCAAGGTGACAATCATGAGAGATATAACTTATTTGTTAAATGTTGATCCTTGAATAGCTAGCCGCGGGTAACATGGTATTAGTTCTGATTGATTATTTTTTATAAATTTTTAATATGATGATTTGTTCAAAATTAAAATGACATGCGTTATTTTATTATCGTTAAATTTAAATCTTTACCATTGCCGTTTGTATCATATTATAATAGTGAACAATTTCTATTATTTACAAGAAACATTTTATTTTCCTGTAATTTATTGCTGGATTATTTCCTAATCTGTTTTGTAATAAAATAAATCTACTCGTTTTTTAAGAAATACGATTTGAAAAAAAATTCATCTCGTCCATTTTGATATAAGTTGTGATTTTAGTTTCTGATTAATCATGTGGATTGTTCTAATCCTTTTTCATCATTAATCATTGTGATTTTATAATTACTCTAGTTATTATCATTTCTTCAATATCGTTTACAAAAGGTCATTTGAGATTAAAGGAGCGTTGAACCAACGTAGTAATTTTTTGTTTAGTCTGCCTTATATAATTATTGGCCATTATTATTTCCCAAAACTAAATGTGTATTTACCATTTATAAAAGTTTGACGTTTTTAAGTAACCAAAACTACACTCTCTAGAAACCATTTTAGCATATATCCCTCCTAGTCGACGATTGACATCGTGTCTGGGCCTTAACATGTAATAAGCGTGGTAATAAACGCGTTTTATTTTTAAATTCCATTTTAGGGGCACAACTCTGTTTGTGGTGCGTGTGGACCCTCCTCTTTCGTCGTCGTTGCTACCACTGCTTACTATAATTGTTTTGTGCGCTTGCCAGACGTTTGCTCTTAATGCGTCCGAGCGACCTGTACGCGCGTTGGCCTAGGTTAGGATAAAAAATGATATTTTATACTGTATTTGTGTACCATGCGAGTAGATAATCATCGTTGTAAACAATAAAAACCTTCATTATTGTAGTGGTCGGCGGTTGTGTTTACTCCACCGCCGCCCATCATTTTATGAACTGACTAATAATTAATTTTTGTTTTGTCACGCAGGCAGTCGTCCATGAACGGTAACGGAATTTTTTGTCGCCGTTTGGATTTCAGCACTTTCAACAGACTTCCTCGGCACATGCTCAATTCCTATCACGTTAAGGTGAGTTATTAAAAAATGTAATTTTAATGAGTTATTTTATATCAATCGCAGCGAGTTATTTACATTGTAATATTAAGGGAGAGTTTTTGGAGCGTTACAGTACACTTGTTTGATCATAATTGTTCACCGCGTTTTGCCGTTCGATGGGTCGCGTTTATAATTATTGACTGTCGTTAATGTGTATTTTTATATCGTTATCATCTAAGGCAGAGGTGTATTATTAATGTATGTGGGTATGATCCAGCAGCGGCTAACAACAGCTGGGTTGTTATGTGTTGTTGTGTATGTTTTAGAATGTCGTTTGTCGACGACAGCCGTTTTAGTGAGCGCGTGACTGGTTGGCGGATGCTTACTATATTACTACTTTGTTAAAATAGTAATAAAAATAAAAAACAATAAAACAAATTCTCGAGGTCTCGTTATGTATGTATGGAATAGAAATAAGACGTTTAAATTTCGTGTGGCTAGGATGTGCGAGATCAACCTTATTTGGCTCGAAACAATACTAAAACTTTAATTGTTGTTTTAATTAGCTCAGGTCTAGACACTGGAAGTTATTATTATTGTTATTTATTTAACTGCCGTTAGTTTTTATCAATTAATGAGCGTTTATTTTTTTTTGTATAGTCGGTCATAATATACGTTTTGAGTGTTGGACGAGTTAACTAAAATTGGTTAGTACTAGTTGTAGTTCAAGTAACATTATTAATACTAAATAAATATTAAAAAACAAATTTGAACTCTAAATGTTTTTTTTTTAATCTCTCTTTATTGTATTTCAACTAAGTAACTTAGTTTTAGATTTAGGTATCGATTCCATTTTTTCTCCTGTTAAGTTCATTAAAATTTTCGACAACATTTTTATTTTATGAATCTAATTTGGTTCTTATTTAATGATTCTCATTTTTTTAAACTCATAATTTTCAATCAAAAATATGTATTGATATTTTTTTTTTTGTTAATTGTTAAAATATAAATACTTTTAAAATCTAAAATGTGTAATCGTAATACCCAGTTCTTTTCGTTTATGGGGTTTTTATTTTATTATAATTCAAATTTTTTCGTTGTTAGGATTGTGTTTAACTTGTAGATGGCCTGATGACGGTCATAACACACACTTGGTAACATAATAGTACTTTTTATGAGCATGCGTATTTATTAATACGTGTTTTATTAATAACATATAGAAAATTAAATTTGAAGGCGCTAAGTATTGACCTTCCAGTTGACTATTATGAATGAAAAATTAAAATTGAAATATTTCAAGTGTTGTAGAACATTTTTATTTCTATTTGCATACGTTTACTAAAGTTTGATTTAAGAACTATCACATTGTCATAACACTGTTTTTAAACTGTTTCTGTTTAGGTCTTAGCTGCGCATATATAATGGTATGATAATGAGGAAGGTGTAAATAATCTGGTTGACACTGCAGTAGTGTATTAACAGTAAAATAATATTAATATTGTTTGAACAATACGCTCGAGAGTCAAAACCAATTCTATAAATTGAATATACAGCTTTATATGGCAAACGAAAAGGCGACAAGGTCTCGCCTCTCCCATCGTCCAAGAACACGTGCGTGTGTTGTAATTGTAAATTTGTCGACGTTTAATTTATTTAATTTTTTATTACTTCAATATTGATGTTGGTAAAAATGAACTCGACAAATTTATAGTGCTAAGTTTTTACAGCCCAACGACTTTTGAGCGCCGGCGCGAACAGCAGCAAACGTAAGGCCGCCTGCCGCCCCACCGGGCGTTTCTAGAGTCCTCCTTCTCGGCCCCCCGCGAGTGCGCCCTGAGTTCCCCGAGCTTTCGCGCCTGTTCGTATAGCGTTTTAAAACTTTTTGGCCACTCCCTTCGACTGTCCCCTTATTAGTGTTATAATATTCGTTACCTGCGTTCACTCGTCTGAAATATTCGACAAAAGTTTTTTATTATAGACGCTTTAAAAAAGCAACTCTGCCTGTAACGGTCACGGCCATGTCAATAATGTACGTACGACTGACAGGATTTTAAAACAAGAGCGTACCTCTGATTTTACCCCTCTCGGATTCTGCTGCTACTCTTGTGTTCCGTGAACTATGTTGGCAGAACCTGATGACGACTAGACTTGCTAGTGTTTGAATCGCTTAAAACACTGCGACTATGCAGTTGTTTAATTATTGATCGTCGGCAGCGGTGCCGTTTTTTCACCCCACCTCGAATTGCAACGCTGCAGCCAAGTACACTTGTGCATACACAGGACGACCCACGCACTCGTCTGCTGGTTGAGCCGGACCGTGTGCTGCGCGCCCGCACAGTTGCCGCCGATCAATAAGTCTCGTCGCGCTAGACGCCCAGTCCCATAAATACATTATCTAACCGTTTGCAATTTTATTCCTAATAGTTAATAAAAAAGTATTACACACGACCATGTCCTTCTGACGAATGCGTATACTTTTTTTATGACGATTTTTCATAACCTTTTATAGGACACACCTGTATTCAAACGCGAATACTTTATCTGTTAAAGTCGGTTTAATACATTAAATCTATTTGACTATATTATTAAACTACAAATAACATTTTTTACGATCCTTTGACATTTCAGTAGTCGACGACATTACTTATTCAATATTTGAAATTATATATGTATTAATTGTGCTTATTTATCAGTTATTAAGTAATACTGATATTTTTGTTTCACTTACATAATAAAAAATTTATATGCATTTTTTATTTAACGTTTGATACTATTGGTAAAATCTAATATGTTTTTTAATCAAATTGTGTTTGCATCTTTTTGTTATTGAAAAGTTACTTGTAGTATGTATTGTGTGAAAATGAATTTTTGGTACCGGGTCAATGTCGACGACACCATCGCCGGAGGGTCTGTTTGTTCTCCCTCCATTANTCTAATATGTTTTTTAATCAAATTGTGTTTGCATCTTTTTGTTATTGAAAAGTTACTACTTGTAGTATTGTGTGAAAATGAATTTTTGGTACCGGGTCAATGTCGACGACACCATCGCCGGAGGGTCTGTTTGTTCTCCCTCCATTAGTTCGTCGAGACGATATCGTTAAGGCAGGTTAGGGGAAAGACGTCTGCGGCTTTTCCTGCCTACTACCCGGAAAAGCCCTCTGGGTTAATTTCCGAAACGGTCGTCCTCATCCTTTTAAACGTTTTTCAGACGTAGTTTTCCAAACTTGTAATTTTAACGATTACGTAAATCGCTAGCCGAGAGTCCGTCTTGAATTGTATTGTATGGGAGTTATTAAACAATCATCTCAAGTGTTTTGTGCATCACACGAGGCTCTTTTTAAAGTTGACTTGTAGTCTATTCGTTTTATGTTTCGTCAGTGCTAATGTCTCTTAATGCTGAAATTTCATGTGTTTGAGAATTGTTTGTGTACTCTATTTATGTATTTAATAATATTATGTAAAGTATTGATTGGTCCTTTGCTATTGCGCAAGATCAATGCCGGCTTTGACCACGTGACACATTCTGTGTATGCGTTGGCGAGTCGAAAAAAAATAACAGTTCATTATAAATTTATCTGCTTGTTTTTTATTCGTGTTAATAATGTGTACGATATGATATTTTTTCCTATGACATTATTCATGACTTTTTTTTTTTTCGAAACTGCGCCGTGTCGGTTTACTCTGGGAATAATAAAAAACCGACAGCATATACTTAAGTATATTTTGTGTTTTAACACGCTTACTAATATGTGTGTACTTGTTAAAATGGGCAGTGTATGATTTAAAACTGTGAGATATATGCCGCTGTTAAAATCATTAGTATGTGTCAAAGACGCTTGGCGTTGCATTTTTCTTGGTGCATTTTGTTAAAAAGAATTAGTGTTGGTTGATAACATATGTATATCAAAATTACTGTTGCTATTTATGATGAAATTGTGCGTCATCAATAATAGTTCAACTGGTAAAGTTAGTTTTGCAAAAATGATTTGAATAAAATTCATAATAAAAAAGTATTATTGTTATTCATTGTTTAGTAATTATTTAACCCTGGCTTGCATGCGTAACGAGTAATTTTTGTATCGTTACGAAACCACCATTGTTTTTTAATTAATGAGTTAATCTGTAACAAAATCTTAATGAGTAAGAGTTGTAATTATCATTTCAATGAAATCAATTCCAGTGTAGAAGTTTTAATAATTATTTTCTTATTCAAATGGTATACTTAAAAATTAGTGTTTCTATTAGTGATATAGTCGGTCTGCATTCTTCAACTATCATTTAATTTTATCATAATATTAAGTGTGTTTTACGGTGAATTTGTCATAGTGCCGGTGCTGGTCTATGAGGGGTCGTCCCTATAATCCCCCCGTGATTATTTTATTATACGACGAAGATTGTATTTTTTCGTTCGAGGGGTATAGTAAAAACTTTTTTTCAGTATGACCAAAAAACAAACCTTACTACGACGCCACTGCTATGTACGGTGGTGACCCATTAAGCGAGAGCCCCGAGACATGTGCTTGTCCAAATTTTGCGCCGGCACTGATGACACAATTTTTTGCCTTGAATCTAACAGAAAAATTTTATTATATTTTCCAGAGTAACTTTTTTAGTTTTTTTTTTTCTGTCATATTTATTTAACAACATTGAATGGCCACAAATGTGCTCTGTGTTGGTTATTGCAAATTGAAGTCGTGTTAACGGCTTTTTATGTAAGGGTATTTGTTGCTTTGTTTCTCTAATCCTCTAATTTAATTTTATTACTTCTGTTTTGTACGCTACTGTAGTACCATCGATTTAAGTTGGGCACTATAATATGAAACCCTTCGAATAATATCCTAAACGTGTGTTGGTTTTGGGTTAGCTATTGTTAATATTGATACAAGAAAGACAAAGTTCTTTAAATACCACATTGGTGTATAAAATCAGTTAACATACGACGAGATGCCATTTCATTCGTTTTATATCTTATGTCTAGTGTTATAAACATTTCTAATTAATCTCGTTATTCTCTTATTTTTATTAATGTTTTGTTCTGAGATTAGGAAACTAATTTGAAAATATTGCGGAAACAATATTTAAAATGATCAAATTCCCAAATTTAACGGATAATCATATCATTTTTCCCATTTGCATCTCGTTTCACGCTGGCTTTTGTCCTTATATCTTTGAGAATATCTTAACCGGAGTTTTAACCATATTTATTGCTTTGTGATTTATTCATTATACCTTAAGGGTCATTATTTGTATTAAATTAGGAAATTTCTGTTTCTCTTGTCTCATTTTTCTTATTCGAATCTTAGGTTTTTCTATTACCTTAATTAATTAATTTAATCCCTAGATCTAGCATTTTTCAATGAAATGGCGGCTAATACTAAAATTAAATTTTAGTCACACATATTATTTTGTGAGGTTTTTTTATCTAAAATATTGGTTAACATAGTGAATGAGAGATGACTAGTTCTTAAACCTCCTTGAAAATGCCACTGCTTAGATCGACGCGCAATTAATAATATATGGATGTTGAATATTATTATTTTACAGTTATAGCTAATTTAGAGTTATTGATTACACAAGACTTCACACGGACCGCGTCTAGCTAACCACTAGCCGAAACGAATTTACAACTAGGTTTGTCTAAGCCACATACATATGACATTTGTTGATTCCAAGTCCGGAACGATATCATTTTTGTACTATAGACTATATAAAAAAAAAAAAACCAAAAAAATTATAATTATCACGGTAATAGGTCATGGTCACGCTGACAGATACTTGTTTATAAATGACCTCGCCATTGTCTTAGGTATGTATAGGTAGTAATGAATGTTGAGCTGCTTTAATAGATGAACTGGTTGTGGTTAAATAACAAAACGTTATTCATGTCAGTTACAATATTTAGTTGTACTTTTTTTTTATATATATGTATAGCGTAATGTTAGCAGGTCTAAGTTGACTCTAAATAGTTTGATGTGCGTGCGTTTAAGTTGCCAATTGGTTTAGGATTTTCTCTTTTTTTTTTTATACTATTTCATTTTATGAAAATCATATAAAAATCTGATAGCGTTTTCATTCAAATACTTAGACTTTAACCGTTGGACGGTTCTTCAGCTACCACCGCCTGTGCTGTTCAACGTTGTTAAGCTTTCATATCTTACATGCACCCTCGTCATTCTAAGGTTATTATTATTATTGTTGTTGCTACTGCTGTTGCCCGTTATTATTATTGGCTAGGGAACGAATAGAGGGTGTAGATGGTCACAATCTTTCGTTGATATTAAAAGCAAACAAACTGGAGAGATTTTTATGTGAAATTCGACGTGTCTTGAGTATTATAGTTTTGAAACTCACCATTTCATCTCTAGTAATATTATTCTAGTTTTATTATTTGGGTATAATTCACACCCGACCTAAAGGCATCTTTATCTTTTACGTTCTGTTGTTGACCACAGAAAATCAAGTAAATGTTTTTAGAATCTATATTTTGCTCTACGTGTGAAAACATGTGCATGCGCTTTGTCGCATTGATGTATGTCTTTATATTGTGCTGTTTTAATATTCCCACGAGCGTATTGAGCGCGATGAGTTCAAAACTATGAACGCCAACATGTGTTACTCACTATATTATTGAAACAGAATTAAAAAAACTTTATGGAACCATTTGATGACAATTTTATATTTGTATTCCAGTGTTTTATATATAGGAATTCAAATACATGAAGGCTTTCTATTTATATGTATATTTTTTTTGCAAGAGATTTATCACGTTTCGATTATTTTTCCAGTTCAAAACTTTTTAACCGTTTTTAAAGAATTCAGTAGAATAGATTTTTCAGAAATCAAGCATTTTTGGCGTGAATTTTTAAAGTAGTAATTTTTAGTGATACGTCTCTATATCTCATCTAGACAATCCAATCAAAATGTGATCATTTTTAAATTACTAATTATTTAAATAAGGTTATTCTATTATCATATGAATGTACTGAGTACACAGCAACACCTTGGTTTAGATAAAACTCACAACCGTGTAGTGTTCGGCTTAAGAAACCTTCTGCAACAGTATTGAAAGTATTCACTTTTTTGCTTTGTCGGCTAGTAAGTACAATATGTAGGTTTTTTAAATAAAATTCATTAAAGATGCTGCAATACCTATCTAATTTTTTCTCTCATACTTTTCGTTTTCAACGAAATATTTATATAAAATAATATTTTTTTAGTAATATGTGCATTGAGATATTTTTAGTTGTATGCAAATCAAATATTTTATGCTGTGTCCTTCATACTTAAAGTCTATTATCTTTGTTTGGATATATTTAAAAATAATCGTTTAGTTAAAAGCGATAGCAGCAGAAGTTTTTTTACAACGTTGGTTTCAGACGTTTTTTAATATGTGGGAATCTCT